CTGATGCATGGATTCATGCTCTGGTGGGGTCCCTCAGCCTGGGCTGCAGGGATCAGGCTGAAACCAGCAATCAGACATCCTCAGAGGGGTCCCTAGTACAGAAATAAATTGACAGGCATTTTTGCAGTCATTTTCTTCTTCCCATCATCAGGACAATTACAGACCTGATTTCCACTTCAGAGTTGGCTGTTCCCTTCTGCACACACACACATACACACACACACACACACACACACACACACACACACACACACACACACCCCATCACAGTGCGCCACCATCAGGACTGGTTCAGCATCAATGTTTTGTTATTACTTATTATTGGGTAATGAGTACTATTCAAATTTGCCAATCTTCTGAGTTCAATTTACATGTATTCAAAATCTCCGGTATACCTTGAGATTTTTAATTTTATTCCTTTCTTCTTACACAAACACATACACACGCACACACACACACACACACACACACACACAGGCATTTCTTCTAAGGACTGATTTCTGCGTATTCTATACATTTCTATACAGAGCTTTTATCACCATTTAATTCAAACTAGTTTTAAATTTCCATTGTGATTTATTCTTTGACTGATGGGCTATTTAGAGGAGTGTTGGTTAACTTCTAGATATCTTAGGATGTTCTAAGTAATTGATTAGTAACAATTCCTACAGTGATTTAATTGTGGTAAGGTAACAAACTGTCTGGTTTCACTGAGACTTTATCATGTGGAACAAGATCTCTCTTAGAGATGTTCCACCGTGTACAAGGTGAATGTGCAGTTGTGTCCTCACATACTGCATGGACGTTCACTAGGCTAATTTCACTTGCAGTGCTGTTTGAAACTTCTATACTGCTGTTATTTTTTCCCGTTTATTCAGTCAATTCCTGGAAATGTTTAAAGACACTAAAACTGAAGATTTTTCTCCTTTTGGTTTCTGTCAGTTTTTGCTCATTGTGTTTTGAATCTCTAATGTATCTTCCCACACATTTAGTGTTTTATGTATTCATGATAAATTGACCCTTTATAATTTTTTTTTAAATCTTTCTTGCCTTTTGCAATATAGTCTACTTTGTATGATATTAATAGAGAATTTTCAGGTTTATTATGTCTACTATTTTCACATAACATAATTTCCCATCCTTTTACTTTCAACTTGTCAATTTATCGATTATTAAAAAGCTAGAGACCCACTGCTAAATTTGTGTATGGGAGGAATCTGGCCAGCCCACTCTAATTGGGGCTGATGAGGCCAGGTCAGCAGGCGGTGGGTGATGAGGGGTGGGGCCAGCCAGGGAGAGGGGCTGTGGTGGTTGGTGGAGGGGGATCAGGGCCCAAATTTGGTTGGCTGGCCACCCAGTACATGTCATAGTGACCAGTCATTTTGATCATTCAGGTCATTCCATTGTCCTGGTTGCTTGGCATAAAAGCCTGTCTCTGAGTTTTTATGTGATATATGAATATCACATAAAAGCTCAGAGACAGGCTTTTAAAAAATATAGACTTCTGCCATTTAATTGGAATTGTACTCAACTTTTTAATGTGATTATCAATATGGTAAGTTTAAGTATACTATTGTAAAATTAATTTTTATTATCTTTCATTTTTTTCATTTCCTGCCTTATTTTGTATTAAATCAAGACTGCTGTTGCTACTTGTTGCTGTTTTCCAGCATTTCATCTTTGCATTTTTATTGCCTCCATGACTATACCTTTTATTTTATTATGCATCCTAAACTTATTATAGTTTACCTAAAATTGACATCATATTGTTTTATATATAGTGCTAGGGCCCTTCAATAGTGTAATTCTATTCATTCTAAATTTCAACCTTCATTGTTTTTTGACAAATCTTTACTTCTACATATGTCATAAATACCATAATACATTATTTTTATTTCAACTATGTGTTAAGTTTTAAAATGTTTAAGAAGCCAAAGAAAACTAGTCTTTATTTTTTACTCACATATTTACCAATTTGAGTGCTTTTAATTCCTTTCTGTACACTGAAAATTCTATCTGACATCAATTTCTTCAGATTGTAGAACTTACTTAGCAATTCTTAGTGGCAGACTATAGGTAATAAACTATGTAAAAAATACTGTTTTTTTTTTTTATATTTACTATATTGCTGTTGTTTTTTTCTATATTTAAACTAGAGGCCCAGGACACAAAATCGTGTGTGGATAGGGTCCCTAGGCCTAGCCTGTGATCAAGGCCATCTTCTGGCTGTTCACCAGTCCCCAGTCCCATCCCACCTCCACCCCCAGTTTCCCGTGGTTCCAATCACAGCATAGCTCTAGTTCCTCAGAGCCTGTGCACCAGGGAGAGGGACCAAGAGGCTCAGTTCAGCCATGCTGTAATCAGAGCCGGTAGACTGGGGCGAAGGGACCAAGAGATGGTAAATGCACCTCATGGCGATTGGTCCAGCTGTCATTCCAGTCATTACACTTATGGTCCTTGGCTTTTTATTATATAGGAAGTTATTTTTGTTGGATATAGACTGATAGGATAACATTTCCCTACTTTAAAAAAATTGACGGTCTTCATTGTTTCTCAGCTATCATTTGTAGTGTTGATAAATTACTGCAGCCACTCAGATGGCTTTGGGTATGTGGTAACTCTAAAGAATCCAGCAGAGCCTTGGAATTCACAGGAGAGTAAGATCTTTTTTGTTTGTTTTGTTTTCATCTCCATCTACAGCTTCCTGCATCACCATGTGGTGCTTGTCTTTGATCTTGTTAGAAGGTGAGCTTGGTGAGAGTTTAGTCTGAGCTTCCTCTATACTCTAACTGCCACTGCCTTTAATGTTTCTGAGCTGATTGTAGGCTGCTGGCTCCAGGAGGGCTCTGGGACCATACATTATACACTTTGAGACCTCAAAAGTTTGGGTCTGCTTGGACATGAAACTGTGCAACTATGAAACTGCAGATGATAAGACCCTGGGTTAGTGAACTTTTTGAAACTGTGAAATTTATGATTAAAAGACTGAAAGACAGAGGACTAAGTTGCTTGTGCAATGTTACATAATCATCCAGGCTATCGCCCCCTTTGATGTGAATTCAGGATTCTTTCAGTGGAACAAACCACACATGAGCTAAAGTATCTTATAAAGAACTCCAAGCTCACAAAATAAGTTTTTTGTTTGTAATTATGTAACCAGGACTTCAATGCCAGTTTAAAATCCACTCAGTCTACAAATTGCATAGAACGCAGAGAGAGCACCCATCACCCTCAGTGTGCAATTCCATTGAACGTTCAGTTTAGAAAAGATGCTCCTGACCCGGGGACTTCGAATAGCCAGGAACGGACTATAGCACCTGTGACTGAGGGAGGCCAGAGGAATGAAAGTCTGTCCTGCTAGATTATAGCAAGACGTGAAATGCCTTCACTCTATCCAAACAATGCAAAACTGCAGAACCATCATGCTCTCCCCCCCCCCCCAAAAAAAAGCTTGTGTATATCAAAGAAGTATGAATGCAAGTGAATTTTTAAAAGAACTATACAAAAAAAGAGTACCTCCCTAAGTGAGCAAGGGATAGAGGGAATATTATACCTGTGCAGGTTGCTAAAGTTAGAAGCAAGACCTATGGAAGGACCAGCCTGCCAAATAAAGGTATTATATTTTTGATAAAGGGAAATTGGGAAAAACTGAGAAATATGTGCAACGTGAATCTTGAAGAATTTCTCTCCACCAACTTCTCTTACACAAGGGTTTTGTTGTAGATACATCTGAAAAATGGGAAGTAGCTTTTCATAAGCCATTTTATAGTTTGTATGATTATATCAATTGTTTAATGTCAGAGTTATTAGCCAATATGTGTTTTGTGTGCAGCAGAAATGTCAGATTGTTCAAGGTATCCTAGATCTATAAGTGTTTTTAAGGATACACCAGGTTGAGTTTTGAATCTTTGAAAATGGATTTCACTAAATAGATAAAGCATTTCCTTGGTGTTTACTTTGGTCATATGAGAAACCAATGGAACTTTTACTTACTAGTTGGCTTGAGGGCACTAGCCAGCAGGCTTTAGCTATGAATTCTTGAGTCAGGAAAGAAGGCAGATGATGACTGATAAGAAAGCAAGCAATCATTGTGCTAGCTGGCACATACAATTGGAATGATGGGTTCCGTGGGTGGATAGTAGTGATGGATGGTTGAACAGCAATGTGAATGTACTAAATGCCACAAAAGTATAGACTTTAAAATGGTAAAATCTATGTTATGTATATTTTATCCTAATGAGAAAAGAAAAAAATTCAACTCCAGAAATAATTTATTCAAATGAAACCTGGGAGGTATAATTTTAGCCTGTTTTGTAGTCCTTTGCTTAAATTTCATGAGTAACTAGGGAAAGGATTTACATAAAAATTGGGTCCTCTTGTTATCCCTCTAATAACAGTCACCCTAGAATCTTTGAAGAGTCTGGAGCTTTAGAAAACCCACAGGTTTAGGAATAGGAAAACATTGGCATTTAGTCTCAAGCTAACTATTAACCAAATGGATAAATTGAATACTTTTTTCTTTCCCATTTTTTTTCTTTCTAGACATCAGTGTTTTGTTTCATTTTTATCTGCAAAATGGTAATAATGGAAAGTGCTTAGCATAGTGACTGCTCTCAATTATTAGCAACTATTTCCTTCAAGAGGCACTGCTGGTTGTTTCCCTTCCCACAGTGATATGAACATTAGAGTTATCAAAACTTCATTGTATTGCCCACTTTCTAACGGTTTTAGGTGTCTTATGATTTGTTAGGATTGAGTTATTGATAAAACCGAGGGGGAAGATTAAAGAATAATGTACTGTGTTTCCAAAAACATACAACACCGTATAATGCAGAATTCATCCGAGTTTGATTTTATTTGAAATACCTGAGAAACTGAGAGTTTCCTTTGACAGGCTTGGTGGAGAGACTTGTGTGGGTCTGCACTGATTCCCCCTGAGCTCTGGCATGTGAAGGAGATGCCACAAGTGGCAGATCTCACTGGGCCTCTTCTCTCTGCAGACCTTTGCTGGAAACACAAATGCAGACGGCGTGGTGCACCACAGGCTTCTGCACCCCGTGAGAGCCCGCTTTGTGCGGTTCGTGCCCCTGGAATGGAACCCGAGTGGGAAGATTGGCATGCGGGTGGAGGTCTACGGATGCTCCTACAGTAAGTACCCCAGTGGGCCATCAGCACCGGTGTCTTTGGGAGGGCACTACCCGCACAGTGCCAATTCATCTGCACGGAGAATGGCAATCTCAATCATTGTAAATGTTTTATGGGCTTTAATAACCTACAAATATTTGGAAATGTCAAATTCAACCCAGGGAAGAGAAAACAAAACAAAACAAAAAAAGCCTCTTCTATTTAGAAATGAAGGAGCTTTGTTCCAGGTGACAGATGATGATAACTTAACAACAACAAAAAGAAGTTCAAAATTAAGGGCTTTTGAAATTGGAGTTGCCATTTCTCCTTGCAATAAAATAATGATGTAAGCTCAGTTCTTTCCTAGCAGGGGGTGAGTATGATAAAGCTATCCCCTTTCTCAGAGCCAGGAGGAGAGAAAGAAAATGTCTCCTATTCACTTCCCTAGAAGAGAAGGAGAAGGGACATTTCCACCCAGGGCATCCTGGGTTTCTTTATCCTGGAACTTTGCTGGCTGTTATTTTCTCTGGAAGTTGCTTGTACTGAATTATAATCAGAGCCTCTCTTGTATATAGAGAAGGTTGTAAACTGGGTAGGACAGATAGCCACTCTAAAAGGTCAAAATTATACAAGAAAGTTTTCTATCCTTATCATTCTTTTCCTTCCGGTTGATATTTAAACCTAAAATTGTGTAAAAATAGATAGTTTTCCTGCCTTCACAGTGACGTATATGCTATGACCCCAATAAGTAAACACATGTTCTCACTACCACTTTAGCATAAATCAGTTCAATAAATTCCTGGTTTGGATGACAAGTTAGCCTAATGGATTGCATATGTGTACTCTTTCCCACGGTATGATCAGTGAGAGCCTGCAGAATCCTCTGGAGACCTTTTTTAAAATACACTTTCTTAGCCCTGTCCTATTCAAACTGGACTACGACTTTTAGGGACAGGAATTCAGAAAGCTGAGTGTTCACAAGGTCCCCAGAGATACTACCGACATAGAGTGTTACTAAACATAAAGCCCCACACAGAGGAATCCACTTCCAAATGACTATCTTTATTTTGAGCAAGCTACAACAGATGGGTCAACAAACCACTATGTCAAGGCGATACTGCTGTCCACTGCAGCCCTCACAGCACAAAGCACAGGACATGCCCTTCCCAGCATCTTGGGCATCCAGATTCTCTCATTGCTATTTTCTCTGTTTTAAAAAATAAATGAATTAAATTGTATTTAATTGTATTTAGCTTATGATATCATATTAGTTATCTCAGTTTCAGGTGTACAAGACAGTGATTTGAACATAGTTATTCGATATTTTTACAACTTATATTGTGATCACCACACTAATTCTAGTATTCATCTGTCACCAAGTATACCTAGCACAATATTATTAGCCTATATAATAAAAGCCTAATATTCCAAGTGCCCAATTGTTCAGTTGTCCATTCAACCAATCAAAGTGTAATATGCTAATGATATGCAAAGGCCACTCAACTGCTTGCTATGACATGCTCTTACCACCAGGGAACAGATGCTCTTTCCAGTAGGTTAGCTTGATGCTGGGGTCAGGCCAATCTGGACTGAACAAGACAGGCTTGAAATGCCTTGGAGCCCTCTCACATCCTTGCCCAATCTCAATCCTGCACCAATGGGGTCCCTCGCACAATCGAGGACCCAACAGGGGATGTAGGAGAGCTGATTTTGGCTCAATCCCACTCAATGCAGGAACTTGCCCCTGGTGGTCAATGTGCTCTCACAGGGAGAGTGCCACTCAGCCAGAAGCTAGGCTCACAGCTAATGAGTGCAGCAGCAGTAGTTGGAGCCTCTTCCTTCCTCTTTGGCAACACTAAGGATTTCTGGCTGCCAGCTTAGGCCTGCTGCCATCAGCCAGACATCCCCTGAGGGCTCCTGGACTGTGAGAGGGCACAGGCCTGGCTGAGGGACTGCCCCTTCCAAGTGCATAAATTTTGTGCACAGGGCTTCCAGTTGTCTATATTCCTCATCACCTTTTTTCACCCAAAGCCCCATCCCTTTTGTAATGATCCCTTTGAGTCTCATTTCTATGAGTCTAATTTTATCTTGTTTTATTTGTTTATATTCCATATATGAATGAGACTTTATGTAATGTGTCTTTCTCTGTCTGGCATATTTCACTTAGCATAATACCATCTAGGTCCATCCAGGTTCTCACAAATGACTAGATCTTATTCATTTTTTTTTAAATTGCTACATAATATTCCATTGTAATTGTAAGGCCTGAAACCATAAAACTTCAAGAAGAACACATAGATAGTAAACTATTTGACATCCATTGAGTAATTTCTTTTTGGATATGTTCCCTTGAGCAAAGAAAACTAAAGCAAAAATAAACAAATGGTACTTCATCAAACTAAATCACTCTGCACAGCTAAGAAAACAAAACAAAAAGACAATCTACTATATGGAAGAATTCATTTGCAAAGTATATATCAGATAAGGGTTTGATATCCAAAATATATAAGGAATGCATACAACTCAATAACAGAAGGTAAATAAACAGCCCAGCTCGCATGCCTCAGTGGTTGAGTGTGGACCTATGAATCTAGAGGTCACTGTTCGATGCCCAGTCAGGGCAGTTGCCCTGGTTTGTGGGCTTGATCCCTAGTAAGGGACATATAGGAGGCAACTGATCAATTATTCTCTTTCATCATTGATGTTTAGATCTCTCTCTCCCTCTCTCCTCCTTTCTGAAATCAATCAAAAATATATTTTAAAAAGACAAATAAACAATCCAATAAAACACAGACAGACATGAAAAGACAATGTTCCCAAGAAGACAAACAGATGGTCAATAGCCATATGAAAATATGTTCAACATCAATAATCATTAGGATAATGAAAATCGAAACCACAATGAGATACCACTTCACACCTGTCAGAATGGCTATCATCAGGAAATCTACAAAAAAAATTGGCTAAGATGTGGAGATAAGAGGAACCCTTATGCACTGTTGATGGGACTGCAAATTGGTGCAGATGCTAGGGAAAACAGTATGGCCATTCCTCAAAAATCTGAAAAGAATAGATCTATCCCATAAGACCAGCAATTCTACTTCTGAGTGTTTATCTAAAGAAAATTAAATTACAAATCCAAAAAGATATGTGCACCCTTATGTTCTTTGCAGCATTATTTACAATAGCGAAGCTATCCTAGGGGTCCTTTGTAGGATGAATGGATAAATGGATAAAGAAGATGTGGCATATATGTTGTTACATCCTCTCTTGATGACAGTTATTACTATTAGAGGGTTAATTTTTAAGTGCAACATTAACCTTTTATGCTGAACTAAGAGGGTTACTTATCACTTCAACTATCTATTTTGGTTCAATAATCCCATTATGTGTTAAGATGTCCTCATATTTTTGTGTTCGCTCAGACCAGTCAGTTGTCTTTATTTTTTATGGTGGTGTTGTTGCTACAAGAAACACTCATAACATCTAGGTAAATAAAAGACTGCAGGTTTGAAGGAGACCTTTGAGAAACATGCTTAACTACCTCTGGGATGGATCCCTTGTTAACATGATGGCAGCAAGGGATCCTCTCTTATCCTGCAGTAATAAGCAAATTGTTCTATAATATTTGGAGGTTGGTAGGTCTGCTAACACCTGATTCTCAACCAAGCTACGTGCTTTTGTCTTTGAAATAGCTCAGTATTATATAGACTCCTCTCCAGGTATGCTCCATATCTAGTAGGCACATCTAAGGGAATAAACTACCTCCAGGTAAATATCCTAGTGATGGGCAGTTAAGCTTCAAGGGCTGTTGGACACAGTGTTGACTGTGATGATCCTCTATAGTCTTTGATCATTAGTCCTGTGTGTGGATGCTTTTTCCTTCAGAAAAAATAAAACATCTCATAGTTTCTATCCAAAACCAACATCCCAGCGTGTCCTCTGATTCAGAAACTCACCTTCAATCTCATCCATCCCCCTTTTTACTGGGTTATTCCTATAAACATAAAATTTTGCTGTCTAAGCTATCAACCAAAATAAGAATAACAAAACTCGTGACTCTATTTAGCAGCTTACTCTCCTCCTCCTCTCCCCTTTTTCACAGAATAGCTTCTCTCTAAACCTTGTCTTTTTTGGATTCAATCTGTTCACCTGCCTTCATACTGCAAGTGACATCAGTGGGTTTTTAGATATGTGGTGATCTGTTTAACATTTCAATTTAGCAAAGCAATGGTCCCTCATTATGCAGCCAAACACAAATCTAGGTGTTACAAACACAAATCTAGGTAATGTCTATAATCACAATCATTTCACCTTAATTAAAGGAGATTAGCCGAAACTGGTTTGGCTCAGTAGATAGAGCATCGGTCTGTGGACTGAAGGGTCCCAGGTTCGATTCCTGTCAAGGGCCTATACCTTGGTTGCAGGCACATCCCCAGTAGGGGGTTTGCAGGAGGCAGCGATCAATGATTCTCATCGATGGTTTTAACTCTCTGTCCCTCTCCTTCTCTGTAAAAAATCAATAATATATATATATATTAATATATAATAAAATTATATATATATTTCTTTTTTTTAAGGAGATTAAGCTCCATATTCTAGAGGGAATGATTCAGTCACTGGGAAGGTTTTATGATCAGAGGGGAGGTTCCTCTGAGGAAAAAGAAATTCCAGCTGTGGACTACAGCTGCTGCTCCCCTCGAGCCCATCCTGCCAGGATACAGCACTGACTCTGTTTCTGCTGAGGCAGAAAGCACCACAGGAGATGTTTCAGTCAAGACCTCCAGCGACTGCCAGGCTGTCAACCCAATGGTCACCTCCCTGTTCTCACTCCACTCACCCTCAGTTGTATTGGTTCAATGAGTTATTTTTTCTTTCTAAAACCCATTTCCCCTTCTTTCTGACTTGTTACTTCTACTCAGTCAGAGGCTGTCTCAGGACTTCCACTTCTTATATACTACACCCCAAACCTGGCTGAATTGCAGCGTTTCCAACATTTACACACCATCAGTGTGCTGATCACC